TGAGTCTTTCGGGAGGGCGGCTTGGTAAAGGAAAGGCAGTTCGTAAGATGTGTTGCAACATATGTCAGTCTGTGTGTACAGAAAGGTGCTTTGAGCACCTTCTTGGTCCATTCCGGAGCCAACGGGTGTGCGGTGTGCGGCCTGGTGCTCGCTATCCTGAAAAATAAACTCGACACGCACTTCATTCCTTCAAAACCGTGGGATGCAGACCACAACCGTCGTACAGAAGTGAAGAGCTTTCCCGCCCTTCAATGATTCAAGCCTTTCACCCAAGCCACCCCACGGAAGGTGAACTGCCAGTCGCTGCGCTTCACGCGTGGGCCTCGGGGGGCTTTCAGAGTTTGTCAGGCCTCTTTGCCGCATCCCAATCATGCGAGGCAGAGCAGCATCAGTGCCAGATTCCACAGCGGGCAATGGCTGGAGGCTCCGACGGCACTTCGACCTGCTATCGCTTTCAAGCTTCCTCGACTGCCGGAGGCCAAGATCCGAGGGCTTCTCCGAGGGAGCGAAGATCCAGAAGATTCCTGGTTTATGCTGACAGTGGTGCAGTACGGTGACAGACCTTCGGACGAAAGAAGCCGCAGTTTGCTTTGGATGCCCTAGGTGTGGTGGGTGAAGTGCGTGTGTGCGTGTGCCAATGTGCACAGGACTCTTATGCATGAGCAATCGCCGTTTGTACTGCCTGCGCCCCAGAAGCCAATGATGGGCTGGCGCTGTGCAATTCTGGGCATCAAGGCTTGCAAAGCTACCAAGCTCGAGCGCAGTCATGTGACGACCCCTGGGATGGCCTTTACCTTACAGCCATTCCTTTGACCGGAAATGTAGCTCAGGGCTGTTGCATGACACTGCCTGCATGATGCGCTGCCCGTCTGAGCTGAGAATGCGATGGCATCCCTCTCGACGAGCACCGAGGCATGGTGCTCGCACACATCTTCGAGTGGCCAAACTTCAGCCAGGGACCAGAGGTCTTTGAGGAATTCGTGCAGCAGCTGAATGACGCCAGGGGGTATCGCTTGCAAGACGTGACGCTTCGAGAAGGAGGGTCATCGAATGATCCAAGTGCCAGACATATCAAAACAGCTCGCGCAGGGTCTAGAGCCATCTCATGCTTGCACCATGCGGTTGGGCAGAAGTCAGCAAGCCGCAGGGGTGTTGTGACCGGTCCTTGTGACATTGAGCTCGATGGCGACTGACTGCTCGCTGCTTCTTTCTTACTCCGCGGTAGCAGAGGATCAAAGAGGACTCTGGGGGTTGGCCAGGTTTCTTTCTTTTGCCGCTTCCCATCAGTTCAGGGTGTGCATACACTTTCAGTGCATGCACTTATAAGACATGCACGGTTCCTGGGAGCAGCCGATGCACGGAGCCTGTAGAGGTCTGCCGAATCTTCAACGGAAGAGGAGCACACTGTAGCCGTTGGCTGCAAGGACTCCTTTGCAGATGCCAATGCAACCGGGAACGGTTCCATGTTCTTGGACACGTGGGGTGCTGAATGAGCGAATGCCCTGGAAGGGTCATTGGGCGCGCCCTCCTTCGATCTCTAGCACTGCAGCACTTCGTGACTACAACTCGTGTCCAGATCTGACGGGCACAGCGGTTCTAGCAGAAGCAGCCGAGCTGCTGAACCGATTCGCGCCTAGACTCTCCCGACACCACCGACCTCTCAACGTAACCAACACGTCGCAGTGGCTCGTGCACAGAGCAGAGGCCAAGCAGTGGGTGCGGATGAGCGAAAGGCACCTGCTGCGGCTCATGACTGACGGAGGTCTCCTCCGTCACTTCGACCCAGCTCACTGGTCCTCAGCCCCATTTTTCCGTGCTGTGAGTTTCATTAGGGCCTTGTTCAGGGCTTCACCTTTGCTGGGCAGCGAGCTGAAACGGCGGCACTTGTCGATCAATCATCGCGGTTGGTGGAGGACGCTGAAGTCGCAAGTGACGTCCGATGGGCCGATGTATTTGAGCGTTCCCGACCCGATCGGACCATGCACGCTCCCTCTGGTCGTCTCAGATTTGCTGCAGATCGACAGCCTCAGATTTCAGGCTGGCCCTACCTGGGATGATGCTGCAGGCCTGCAAATATGGAAACTACTCGCTTCAGCTCAGGCAAATCTTGATTGCACGATCCGGGACATGAGGCTTCTGGACCAGTTCATGTTTTCAGGTGCTGACACATTCTTCGCCCTGCTGGACCGCCTAGACTGTCGCCTCTGGTCGGTTGTGACTGCACCCCTTGGTCCCAGCAAGTTTTGGATGCGCCTCCTGCCTCTGCCGTTCACGGAAGCGAATCGCGTGAGGGGTCTGAGAAAGTTCCACTGCGACGGAGCAACTCGAGATCTGTTAGAGGAATTGCTCCCAGGGGCTGCAAGCCCTGCTTTCCGATTCGTAGAAGTCGGACCCTCCTTGGGAGGCTGCACATTCCACGTTCTGACGAGAGTCCCTGCTGCCTCTGCTGTAGCTGTGGAACCCCACCAGGTCGCAGCAGAGGCGCTGCGACTCACGGCCGCTTTCAACGGCCTCGCCGATCGTGTTGCTGTCCGTCAGGCCTTCGTCTCAGACAAACCGGGTGCGTGCCGTGCCTTGCTGGGAAGCATCTACGACACACGGAACCCAGAATGGGCCTTTGAGGAGGCGGGCCCAGGCCCAGGCTCCGAACTTGCAGAGGCGTCGAACTGTGACGCAGCGAGTTTGGAGGAGATCCTGACTTCCGCTTGGGGTGACTTCGGAACCGTGGACTTGCTTCGAGTTCACGTGGATGGCCGGGAGGAGATGGTGCTGAAGTCCCTCCACGATCGCCTAAGCCCCGCCTCAATCCACGCCATTGCCTTAGCCATGTGGCCCTTCCGCGAAGAGGATGCCCTCTACGATCCTGCTGCCATTGCGCATCAGCTCCGATCACGAGGCTACGAGCTGCAACTGCAGTTCTTGACGTCCGCTTCTGGAAGGGAGTCCCTTTGGAATGAGGACGCGATTCGGGCGCTGAGGACTGGTGTCCAGACTCCGGAAACCATGACTCTCATAGCTTCACAGGCTCATGCCCGGAAAACCTCACCGCAAAGCTCTGCACAGAAGCTCGACCTAGGCTGAAGTCATCCGAAGACGAAAGCAAAGCAGGCAGAGCGGCTGCTGCCTGTTTGGCTCGCAGCGGGCATGTGCGGTTTCGGCGTGGGCGGGTGAAGGCTCCATGGTCCATGGACCTTGCCGTCTTAGCCGACATGTTCTTGCGTCGCGACGTGCGTTCAGCAGGCAGGCATGGCTTGTCATGGAAAACTTGGAATGGGATGCTCAAGGCGGCGCAGGCAAGCAATCAATGCAGATGCAGGACTCACTGGAGAGAAGTGTGCTGGTAGCATTCCTCCAGCACAATTCTATCACTGGGACAGGTGTGCCGAGCCTGAGTTTGCAATTGCACGATTTTTGTGCATCGGGCCGTGGTTTTGCGCGTCTTGCACAGTTTCTGATCTTGGTAAGTGTGCAATTGGGACATATTGGGACCATTAACATAGCAAACCACTGCTGTTCCGTGCGTTAGCAGTCGGTCCGATGAAAGTCAACGCAAGACCAAGATGCTTTGGAAGTAGGTGCTGTGTCAGCACAGGGGTATCGCTTGGGCTTTGCATGTTGATGCGAACAAAGAAGCCTTTTCGACTCTTGGCTCTCGTGCGGCTGGCGTAGGCTTTGGGAACCAGGATTGCAGCGGCTAGGTGTTCTTTGGTGTTCTCTCGCTGGCAGCATTTTCCAAGTCAGAACTCACTACCACACACAGTCGGTAGAAAGTTAAGAGGGTTTGACAAGAGTTGAAGCCTGCCGGCGGCCTTGCTGCAAATCCTGAACTGAGGGCTGGCCGCAGCTGGCTCACGCCGCGTCTGTGCATGACAACTCCTTCCGCATCTTGTTGCCTGCAGTCCCAGCAAGGCGTATCCTCTGTTGTTAAAAGTTGTTTCACATGTCGTGGCCGCTTGGAGAGCGCGGTTCGCTTGTGTGCAGGTTTTCGGGGTAAGGCTTCAGACTTGCGACTGTTCAAGGCGTCACCACGATCAGTCCCCAGACCGAGCTCCCCCTGTCCAGTACATGGCATCAGATGTTGTACTCTGTACTTGTGCCTTAAGCCCTCGGAACAGGCCTATTGCCACGGAGAATGGTGAGCAGTGCTCTCAGAGCTTACGATGCGATTTGACTCTTCCCATGGCTCTTAGTCAGATGCCCGGTCTTAACTCACGGTAAACTTCGACAGCCGCGGTGGCATTCTTGCCTGTGGCCTTTCTCTCCTATGACGACGCCGTCAACTGCAAGCTTTGGTCTGCAGCCGCTTGAGTTTATCGTAGCCTTCTCACCTCATGGTGTCGGCCTGCGCCGGACGTTACCCGAGGCAGATTCCGGACGTGTGCTGCGACTTGGCCTCCAGCAGAATTGAGGAAGAGTGCATGCAACGGGCTCCTCCAACGAACAAGTCTTAAGGCCTCGTCTATATCCGTGCCTCGTCTGCGCCCTGTCTGTTTGATTAGCGGCTTGCGATGATGAGCTGTGGAACGGCCTGAAAGTATCCGCAAGTGGGAGATTCCGAAAGATGCACTTGCCCGAAGGTGCATGACATCATGGAGTTGCGAGTTACTTCCCGAGATCCAAACTCGACTGGCTCGTGAATGTGAGCACCTGTGACCACGGCTCGCCCAACGTGGCAGCACACTTTTCATTACAGCATCTGCTACTGTGGCCATGGCGAGTTGACGCCTGTTTGGTACCTGTGACACGGCATGGACTTGCAACGAATCCGGAGGCAAAAACAGGGGTTTCTCCAAAAAACGGTGCCTGCGTGATTAGGTAGGTCACAGGTGGGCAATTATGACTCTAACGGCAGCCCTACTTGGTGAGTTCCCCATTCGAGCAAATAGTCGGCAGTTGGCTTGGGCCGACACGCCGATGTAACATGTAAGGGAGAACCACAATCGGGAGCCCTGCGTCTTCTGCCCCAACCCCGATCCCTTTCGAAGTTTCGGGTGTGTCAGGCCGAGATGTCCATCCATGATGTGCCAGCAGGCTGGAACTGAAGACATGTAGTACATGACGTACTAAATGTGGCTTGAGCATGATGTTGTTTTAGTGTTGTGGGCAACGGTGCCGACAATGAAGTCTTTCGAAGTTGGAAAGGTGATCTGCACAAGGGCACCTTGGAGCGACACGGAATTCAGATAAGCTTCTTTCTTGATGGACATTGCATATGTTGGCCTGTGGAATGGATCGAGGAATGATGGGGGCCTTGACAGTAAGGGTTTAGGGTAGAGTGTGCTTCTTCCGGCGTGCAGGCGAGGGCGACGTGAAGGCCTGACAACGTCTTTGCACATGCTGAGAATCTCTCGGAATGGGATGCCCAAGTTTCGTGACGGCTTGGGACTGTTCCATCTCCGTGCCTTGTCGTTTCATCTTGGGTTCGAAGTTGCAGCGAAGTGATGAGGGCACCGCATTCTGGAATCCAGGATGGTGAGGATCCAGGACTTGAGCCTGAGGCGTCTCTGGGACACAAATGCTCCAATTTTGCAAGCCAAAGAGACCGGAGAGACGAACATTCGTAGCGAGCCCATGGGCCCAAAGCTCTTCTTTCTCACTTCCCGTGTCTCAGCCCGATCGTCTGCGGCGTGTAGCCCACAAGCTGTTCAATGCTGTGCGGGCCTTGGAGGAGGATCCTAAAGGCTTACAGAAGCCTCCAGGCGTTCTGCTAGGTACTCGTAAGAGCCTGTTTCAGTGCATGCCCATACATGCTCCCAGACGCCGTTGGGACTCGTTGGGTTTCTCTGAGTGGTCGAAGACTAGATTTCCGAGTTGCCAGGGTTCGAATTCCAGTTTCCGCATTGTTCAAAGGTCTTTGTCGTGTTTGGCACCGCATCTGCGCTGTGTCATTGATGCTTAGGAACCTACCAGAAACTTCGACAGGTGCTTTTCGGAGCTCCGTGTCGTGCCCGGACAACTTAATCAGACCCTTAGTGGCGGATTCGTTGCGACCCAACAACTCTCCATGCCCAGATCCCGTAGCATCTCTTTGGCTCGGGCCTCAAAGAGGGCCGCCGCGCCCCATGGCGTCGTCGAGTTGGGACCCAGGTGCCGGCCTGCCGTCTAGAGCGTTTGGCAATCGCCTTAGCTGCTTGAAGTATCTTCCCATAGCTTAGCTGACCGAACTGGCGAAGACATTCTCTCGATCTTGTTCTCAAGCCCTGGAAGGAGCGACCCTGAACCCCTTCTTCAGAGCAGTCAGCCGCTTCCGGCAAAGAAGATGGGACGAGTGCATCGACATTTGCACAGAGCTTCTCGAGCAGATCCTCGCCAAACTTTCACTCTTCTCAGGGATTGTAGGCACCGGAAAGGCACTGAATGATGCCGAAAAAGCCGAGGAACCCCAAGGACCAGGCAGCATGGTTCTTGAAGTGCCGGGCACTCACCTCCAAACAGTGGATCGATGACGTGGAGCTACTTGGCACAGTTGGGCCGACTTTCCCCAAACTTTGGAATTGCCCAGATCCCGTCCTTCCAAGGATCGACGAAGAGGGTGTGGCCGACTTGCTCTTGGATGAGAATGCCGTAGCGCAGGCGCCTGGGGATTTCAGAACGCGCAGGATGCCCCTTTGCCAGCCTAGGCACCACGTCCTGGCACGTCGCTGAACCGTCCCCTCACGCGAGCAGTCAGCCACCCAGAACAGCTGGACAGACATTTGCAGATGGATGAAAAATGCTGAAACTGGCACATAGCTAAGCCTTAAACTCAGGGACAAAGTTTCTTGGACCGAGGAAAGCGGCGGAGGGCCCACCCAGGTGGTGCGACCCGTCAGTGCTAGCGGCCGGCCGCTAACGGGCTTTGCCCGGCCCGGCACCAATCGGCCAACGTCCTCCTCTGCAGGGAGAGACGTGACCACTGCCATGCAGGGGAATCGTCCAGGCACATCTAGGCCAGCGGCCAGGGGCAGTCTTTCTCTCGGCGACAGTGGCCAAAGGTTGCTTCGCAGTCTCTGCCTCAAGCCTCCGACAGGGCACTGACGTCCATGGGTCGGCTGATACGGCTGGGTACTGCGTCCATGGTAAATCAGGACCGGCCCATGCGCATCGAGTTGCTACCAGCGGTAAGGCTTTCGGCTCTGACAGGACGGTGGCGAGTTCGTCCGTTTAGAGTCTCTGGACCTGCAGAAGTATGCGCAGCGACCTGCAATCGCCAAAGCGCTGTGCGACTATATGCAGCTGGGCCATGCGTTAAGAACCAAGCGCCGCAACGGCATCGTCATGTTAGTGGCTCCAAGTCTTGAGTGTCACTAACAGGGGCTCGGAACAGGACATTGATGTGCAAGCCTTGGCACTTCGCAGGGAGGGTCAGACAAGGTTGTACTATGCTCGCAATCCGCGGAAGGCCTTGGAGACTTGGTCGCACACGTCAGTTAAATAGCCCCGCAGATAGCTGCATGCTGAGGCTCTGCCATTCAGATGTCACCCACGTCGTGAAGCTGAGCCGATCGCAAAAGACTGTCCTGACATCCGAGGAGTTGGCATCTGAAGCTACACAGGCTGTCGACTTTAAGGATCGGCTTTGCATGGCCTAGTGCGCTCCCATGCTGCCGCCAAAATCCAAAGCTGCCGGCAGGACTGGTGGTGGAAGGCTCGGCTCGGGAAGGCCTACTACCAGCTCGGCCCTGCGGCGAAAGAGTGATCCCAGAAACCCGGAAGCTAAGAGAGGCTGAGAAAGGCTCGCTGTCTGGCTCGCTGTGTTCCTCGGATTCTCCTCCCGACTCCAAGGCCTGCTCCGTGACGCGGAGAAGCAGTTCAAGAGCGCGCTGAAGGACGAGGAGATGATCACCACCCACCTGGAGCTGTGCAAGGTCTATCTTCGTCACCCGGTGTAGACGAGGGTCAGTGAAGTTGTGGGAGTGTCGATGCGGGGCTCTGCATGAGGTCTTGGTCCCTCAGTTGCCGTGCTAAGGTCTTGACCAGCCAAACTCGGCTCTCGACCAATACGGGCGCGCTGCCGAGAAGTTTGTGGGGGAAACCCACATCCTCATTGGCTTGGCTAGGACCTACGACATGCTGAATGCATTGCTTCGAGGCGTCAGTTTCTACAAGACACTTGGCTTAGGATCCACCGATTTACTCTAGCCACCCCTGGCCCTGGCCCTAGCCCTACAGTCCTACAGCGTAGAAGCTTGAGCCGGCCTCAGTCCTTCGAGACAGAGCACAGGAAAGTCTTGCAGTATGATGCCGTGAATTCAGAAGCCATCGCGTGCCTGGCTTCCCACCATTTCTACACAGACCAACCAGAGCTGGCCCTGCGATTCTATCGCCGCATGTTGCAGAACGGCGTTGTTAGCGCGGAGCCTTGACTCTCACTGTGTTGTGACCTGGCCAGGCTGAAAGCGGCCGCTGGTGTCTAGCAAAAGCAGGGGTCGGGTGTTTTTCAGGGCCGGGGCCCTGCAGAGCGTGCAATCAGGAGCTTTGGAACAACATGGGGCTTTGCTGCTTCTACGCCGGGCAGTATGACCTGACCCTGAGCTGCTTCGAACGTGCCCTCATGTTGGCTGACGACGACAACATGGCGGACGTTTGGTACAACATCGGCCAAGTAGCAATCGGTGTGGGGGACCTAGGCGCGGCTGCTACTGTAAGAAGCTCGTGAAGGTCCTGTCTGATGCTGGCCCTTGAACACATGCATGCACAGGCCTTCACTGTAGGAACTCACCTTGGAGGTCTGGCTTACCAAGCCTTCAAGATCGCCATCTCAGTGGACCCCAATCATGCTGAGAGCTACAACAACATTGGGGTGCTGGAGCTGCGAAAGGCGCTGCAGTGGGACGAGGGAGGTTTGGTAGGGTTGCAAGGCTTCCCTGCAAGTGCTCCAACATGCTCGCAGAACTTCGGCAGATTCTCAAATAACTGCCTGTCTACGCCGTCCATGCTTGTCTTCCTCTGCCCAGGGCAACGTCGAGCAAGCACAGGCAGGGGCAGCACTCCGTTCGAGTGCGTATCCCAAAACAAGACCCACAAGTTCGGTTTTTTTTAATGCACGGTGCTTTTTGTGGGGCACGATTCCGCCCCAAGACGGACGGAGACCCAGCGCCCCACAGCGTGCGCAGCGGCCAGGCGCATTTCGCAACGGCGATGCGCTTGGCAGCCCACCTGTTCGAGCCGGCTTTCAACGGAGGGCTGCTGGCAGCTTTGCTCAACTGGTCTTTTGGTGGCTGTTATGTTGTGAATCGAGCCGCAACTAATTAATTCTACCGAGGCCTTCAAGCTCGGTGAGTTTCAGGACAGCTTCGAGTTGGCCAACAAAGCCCTCGAGGTCAGAGGGAAAAACTTGGGTACGGCGATTGCATGCAACTGTTGGGCCAGGCCTACCCTGAGCACATTGAGAGCAAGGAGCTCATTAAGCAGCTCAAGGCGCACTTCTCCTCGCTCTGAGGGAGTTCCTACAGAGCAATTTGCTTCACAAGCACCCGGAACCTCTGTAGCTCGTGCAGTCTCACCCAAAGCGGCTGCTCTTTCAGGGGCCAATGGAAGCTGGCCAGGTGTTTACGTAGAGCTGGGGTACTTAACTTAAGGGCAGCTCAAGCGAGATTGAAAGTCGAAGCGCAGCTCAAGCGCTTCGAAAATGGCGCTACCAGCTTCCAACGATGGCTCCTGCAGGGTCCAGGACATGCACGGCGGCGGTTTCTGGAAAGCCCAGGATGCACCTAGTCATACACCTCACGTGCCGAACGATGCCTGGGACAAGCATAGCAGCAAGAGGGTGCACGAAGAGAGCGATGATCGTTCTCTTGGGCACCGCTTTGCCAAAGATTGCATCCTATTCCAGCGATTTCGCCGTGCCGGCGAAAATGTAAAAGCCGGAATGCTTTCAAGACCTTTCGCATGGTTCGCTTTTCAGGGCTTACAGTAGGTGTCCACGTTCATACCAGGCCCCGCTTCGAGGCTTTCTCACGGATCCCAGGAAGTGCTTTGCTTGCCCTGTGGCCACGTGCTTTGCGACGCTACGCTCGGTGCTTGCGCTGTGCCATACGTTGGTTTGCGGTTTGCACTCATCCCTACTCTATTCTGCTCGTGTCATGTTGCTGTAGTGGCAGTGTATTCATACATTCTTTACCAGTCCAAGTTGGAGTTGCGCTTTGTAACAGTACTGATGATTCCATTTATGTCCACATTCCAGTCTTGTGTGCTGATTGTGCGGAAGTTTCTGGCACGGCGCATTTGCTGAGGTTCCACAACTCCGCCCGGAGACTCGCAGATCGCGGACAGAGCCGTCAAAGGCCGTCGAGGTGGAGCCGTATAAGACGTCCAGAGCAAGAGAACCGTTGTCATACTCGTCTTCCTTGGCTGCCTTGCAGCAGAGACTTTGGTCGGGGGGCGATTCGTGCATCAGTGGAGAAGTCTAGATGGGGCTGCATGCGCATGCTTCTCATGAATCATGTTTGACTTGGGGCAACCGCCAGGCAGCTCTCAGTGACCTCAACGAGGATGTCGGCAGGCAGAAATTCAGAAGTCCGGACAACCGACCGCGGCAGATTCTGAGATCACGCGGCCTCTCTGCCGTAAAACGCCCCGGAACCCGGAGCTCCATGCACCCGGGACCTTTGAAACATTTTCAACATGAATCCTGCACCCACCGCAGCCATCATGCTGTTGCAGGGCGCCGACGAAGAAGAGCCAATGCTCTTCACTTGCATCACTCCATCGTTCCGGCAGCGAGGATAGCGGGATGGGGACATGACCTTTACAACAACACGTGAGCTTTATAGAGCCGTTGCCATGCTCCGAGCAGGAGATGTGTCGGGGCAGAGGTCGAAGAGGCAAATTGAGTCTCCACCCCAGCGATGGGCTTCTGTCTGTTGGACTGTCTGTTGGAGTGTACGACCGCGTTTGACACTACACGCAAGCGATGGTGCGACCACTGTTTCGTTCGTCGATGCTCTCCACATTTTTGTTGAGCGGGTAGTGCTTGGTTGATGTTGTGACGGCAAGAATAAATTCCCAAGCTGCTTATTGTTTCTGACAGCTTCAGTGTTTTGTTTGATCGACGTTTGATCGGCATAAATCATTGCGGAGATTTTGTTGCCTTCGTGCTCACGCTGTCCGTGTGTGTGTGTGTGTGTGCGTGTGCGTGTGCGCGCCTGCTACCATGAAGCACAGAGTCCGCAGGCTTTCCTGCCCCCGATGTCAGGTCTCGCCAACTTCTCCTATCCTCCGCGCAGCCGGCCGAACCGGCCTGTGTTCTTTGATGTGTGGATTGCAGATGATTGCAGTATGTGGACCGCCTCCTTCTGAATTCCGGCCGAAGCTTAATCCGACCACGTTGACCTTGACCTCGCCAGCTACTGGTTGCATATCTAGCACTGAAAGAGCAAGAGCTGCAGATGCAAGAGGAGAGGTGAAACACGGCCCAAACCGAACCAGATGGTGCAATGAGCACTTGGCCGTCACAGCAGCTCTACGCTGTACAAAAAAGCTTGGCAACTTTCGAGAAAGTCTTGGTGATGGCGATGCGGCAGGCCGCCCGAAACCGCCGTTGCCGGACCCCTTAAACCCGAAACCTCAAGCGCCAACCCCTAAAGGTCCTGTAGTAGCCATTTCGGATCAAGCATAGGGTTATGCTCCACACCTTGGGTATTCAGGATAGAGGCCTTTACAGTCAATTTGGGGACACTTCAAGCTGCATCATGCAATCTGGACGAGATCGTCTCTGCAATTCAGAACGAGTGAGTGAATTCAGAGTCCATTTGGACTCCTCGCAGTCTTTGGACTGCGTGGAATCCAAGTCTGAGGTCTGAGGTTACCGTGAGCTTGAGCCCAACTTAGAGATACTTGCCCTGTGAACATTTTCCAAGATGGAAAGTCGAAAGTGCAGCACTTTTCTGAGGTACGAAATGTATCCCTAGTCTAATGAGTCTAATGTATAGTTTCCTGGTGAGACATCTGAAGCCACAGGATGCTTTCATACCATTGTTCCCCGGTTGTGTACCCTGCATCGCGGGCTTGGTCCTAGCTAGGTGGGAGGCAAAAAAACACCAGGGACACCCTCTCTGCAGCTTCTGCGGCCTCTGGAAGCCATGCCAATTGCCCGGTGGCCGGGCACCTCCAGAGCTTTGCGAGGACCTGCAAGGGGGGAGTGGCTTCGGTTTCCTTTCAGGGTCGGATGTCGGAAGGTTGGCAGAGAAGGTGCGCTTCCAAGCTCAGTCTTTGTAGGTAGAAATGCCAAGAATAGGCAAAAGGCAGTCGGCACGGGAAGCCAGGATGCTCGCAAGCAACAGTTCCCAGCGCTGGAGAAGCATGGAGAAGCATTTAGCACTTTAGCAGGAGCGTCGCTGGGCCTCGCCGTGCCGCAGTGGCAAGGAGCCGGGGTACTCGGCGCAGGCACGGTGGATGCACTGCGAGGCCAGGCCATTGTTTTGAGCTGGGAACGCAAGTCTTCCGGATCTTGTGCTCGTATCAGTGACTAGAATCTGCGAAGCTCGGGCGGTGCATTGGGGCGGCTATTGTCGATGCATGGGTGCTAGTCCTGACCCTTCCCAGCCACTCCCCGCGGTGCAGGTGCCGAGCTGGCTCGCGAGGTCTTGCTGGAGAGCCTTCCTTCGAGGCCTGCTGAAACAGAGGGTACAGAAAGGATCCTTGCTTTGAGAGTCCTCTTGCTGCCCAGGGTTCCCATGCACCAGCTCCCGGTTCCGGAGCCAGAGGACGGAGAGGAGGAGGATTCCGTGAAGTTCCGACGAAGCCTGCGAAAAGATCCTCGGCCTCGATGTCAAGGATGCTAGGACTCGAGTCCCATGATCTGCGATGCAAGCTTCTACTAGCTGCTACTAGTGTTCGTCGTATCCATACACTGCGCCACATTTCGACAAGCCCGAGGTGTTGGCGTCCGCTTCGGAGCTTCTCAGGGCCGAGCAGCCCTCGCAGGCACAGAGGGCTCTGCCGCTCCGCTGCTCCGCTCGGCCTCTCCGCAGCTTCCGCGGCTTCGCGAAGCCGCGGTTCGCAGGTTTGGACAGTCGGCGGCGACTGCTCCGTGGATCTGACGCCCATCTCTTACTTGGCAGAGAGGTGCGGAACCGGGTAGGGGGGGGGACAAGGGGGGTTGGCAGCGGCATGAGGCTTTTAGGCGGGGAGCGGTCTCGGAAAGGTACGGCGAACGGCTCTGTGTCGCCTACGTGGATGCTCACTGTGACTTGAACAAAGAGGCGAGGTAGCCAAGCCTTGGCAAAGAGGATCTAAGGAGGTAGCATGAGGTAGAAGTAGGGCTTACTTTGGGCCTTTCTGTCGGATTTTTAGTGGTTTCTAGGCTTCGGAGCGGTGCTCTAGAGAGCCATTCCGCCAGAAGGAACTCGCAAAGAATCTGCTCTCGGCCAACCTTGGCTCTACGTACCTTCGGATCGGAACTGGAGCCAGAGAGCAATGCCGGTTGCTGCCCATGCACGGTTTGGGGGTGGCTCTGTGGGTTTACATATACGGTTTACGGGCCCCGAAATCAAACACCTTGATGCCACTACATGCAACATCAGGCCATCAGGCCAGCTTGAGTTGTCTTTCTTCGCAGCCTTATGGAGACTTGAGTTGTTCATGGTGCAAGTTCTATGTCCGGCTGCTCTCGTATCGCTACAGGGCAAGCTCATGCGGTCGCCCATCATGCACAACTTGCAGCAACTACCATTTGCGATGATTCGGGACGGCACGTGAGGTCTTTGTAGCTTGGTTGTTTTCGTGGGTAGGGCTGGCAGGTGATTGAGTAGCAAGGATTCCTGTACATGTTCATCTTAGAATCGAAAAAAATCACCATCCGAAGTCTAGAGCAGGCCGAGTCACCTTCGGGCCACTTCCATGGCGCCCCGGCATGCGTTGGTGAGGCTGATACAAGCAGTCCTACATACAAGGATTCCGAGGATCATACCCAACAGCAGGAGCCCTCAACTTGAATTCATTTCAGTCCCGAGAAGTTTGCACCATACCAGCGGAGCCCTCACAAACGTAAAGTCCGAACTTCAACTCTGAGCCCTTGCATGAGGCCGTTTCTGACTTAAGGGTTGTGAGCTTCTATACTCGGCAATCAACATGTTGCAGGCACAGTGTGCCATGCTCATAGAATCCTTTGAAAGTTCGTAGACCAGAGCGAGTTTTGGGCAGATGGCAAGGCCAATTTGTGCTTTACCCTTGCTCTTACATGCTCCAATCACCATGGCCATGGGCATCGACGGCCGGCGGCGACCCCTGGCAACAGCGACGGCTGTCGCAGTTCTTCTAGCAGCCGTCGATGTTTGCAGCCAGCTTGGTTTCGCGAGACCGGCCACGATTCTGAGCAGTGAGCTGCCGGCTGACATGCGCCCGTCGGACCATTTGCGGGATCTGGCGAACTCTGCTTACGCGGCTCTCACACAAGACCGAAAGGAAACTGCCGAGTGTACAGAATTTGTGCGAGCCATCTCCAAGGAAGATCCTGTGTTAGCTGCTGTTTGGCTGCATGAAATGCATGCGTTGCAGGTGGAACCCTCCTCGATGTGTTACGAGGCAGTGATCGAAAGCCAAAGCCGAGAAGGCCTAGCGGCACAAGCATCAGCTACATTGGCCGCTTTCAAAGGCAGTGCCTCCGCAGATCTTTACAGCCAGGTTATTGAGTCCTTGTCTTCTCAAGGCTACCTGGATGCCGTGCGAAGTCTGGAAATGAAGGAGTCCGGAAGAACTCTCCGCCGGCACGTCCAAGCGATTGAGGCTTTTTCCAAAGGCGGCGACAGCGCCTCAGCAAAACGACTGCTGGACGAAGCCATCCTGTCGTCGGTCAGGCCTGATGCGCGGGCTTACACTGCAGTTATCAGCGCTTTTGCCAAGGAGGGAAAATTCGCTCAAGCAGAGGCAGTGTTCGAACTGATGGAAAACCACAGTGTTGCTGTAGATGCTGATGCTTGGTCTTGGCTACTTGTGGCAAGCGCAGAGACACGAGCGCGGAAGAAAGCGTCCGATCCGGAACGTATTTTCCGTAGTATGGTCGAGCGTGGAGTGGCTCCCACAACATTTAGCTTCCGGGCGCTGGCACGTGCCGTCGGCTCTGAGAGGAGTGCGAAGCTTTGCAAGGAGCTCGGGCTGGCGAGCCGCTTTGCTGGTCGTGTCCGAAAGTCGCCAAAGCAGCGATGGTACTATATCGAGAAGAGACCTTACCGAGATGGATACTTTCAGCCGGGCGACAAAGAGGACAGGGACGGAACGGAGAAAGTGTGGTTGGGAGATGATTCGATGTTCCACGTAGATCCGTTCCCAAAGTATTTCAGCTTCTCGCCGATCTTCAAGCCGGACAAAGACCACGGAACTCGCCGGCATCGGAAGCCAGACCTGCCACCCGAGGACAAGGACAAGGAGTGATTCCGACCCCAGCAGTCAGCCACGTGCTCATGTTCTGCTGACAGCCTGCAAGTTTGGAAAATCCTTGCAGCGCCAAGAACAGTTCCACGAACCCCCGCTCCTCCCCACCCCACCGAGCTTCGAGATTCGGGGGAGCCGTCCCATCTCAGGCATGAGCCTGCGTGCAGCTTTGGGTGAAGGGCCGCAGGGCTTGCGAGCACCTTTCCAGGCCCCTTGCATCTGAAATGGCTTTTGGAAGCCCATCGAAGGATTGTTGGGTTGGAAGTCTTCCATGTCCCATGTGCAGTGAAACTTGCCTTGAGGAGTAGGCAGCTAAGGCCGTCCTAAGAGGAGCCGGGTCATTGCAGGATTGCCCTTTCCGTTAATTCCAAAGTACTCGATATCGCATACATGCTCGGCTTTGCAGCATTCCTTCTTGCCCCCGTAAGGGCTATGATCAGGATCTCCCTAGCGGCCAGAGCTCCTAAGTTTCTCCGATCCGAGGCTTCGTAGCTTTGGGGCACACGGAAGAACGCCCAGGTGGAGTAGCGGCCGTGAAACATATGGGAATTTCCGAAAATACGGGGGTACCATATTTGGGAGTCCTTATAATAAGGATCCTATTAATTAGGGTACTGTATTAGGGTCCCCTATTTTCGGAAACCCCCATATCACGAAACTGAACTTAGCCACGCGACGAGGCATTGGGTCCAGAACGCTTGGTGATGCTAGGCCGGTCCTCTTGCGTTTGTGGCGGTAGGTTGTCCTCACTTGAAAAGGCCTTCAGCCAACGACATCATGATTTGCACCAGGCATTCGCGATGCGGATCCTGCCGAGGAGCAGTTTATCCAAGAGGCGAAGGCACTCTTGCAGCCCTCTCCACTGCCATTCAAAAGCATCGCGCATGCTGATGTAATTCATGAGGGCAGCTTCTGGCATGGAGAAGTTTCCGTCAAGAAGACAAGCACAACTATAACTCTGGTCAGGTGAAGAGGCTGACAACGAGGGATCTTCAATCCAACTTGGAGGATGCAATTAGAGCCCTCTGCCTGCATGTCGCCCCATCCTTCTTGCGGCCCTCCTATACCCCCTTCGTTTCGGCGCATCTCTGTCGAGGTCGTGACTGATGTGGCTGGACCTACCGGCCTTCTGCATGTGCACCTCGACCTGGATGTGATGGACCCATCGGCGTTTCCCCACGTGACACTCGGCTAAGTTGGGGACCTCCAGAAGCCTTAGGCAGCATCAAGCTGGTTCATTGCTCTCCATGCAGCAAAGGAATGTTCCCACAGCAGGCCGCAGCTGGCCTCCCATGTTATTTTTTGTGAGTATCTTTCCATGGCGCATGTCATCGTACGTCAATTTCATCACCATGCACAGGAGGGCTACTGCCTGCGGAGCTGAAGGCCCTGCTGGGCCGCCTCAGTAGCCTCCCGGCCATGCAGTTCACTTCTTGCCTTGTAGCTCTTGCTAACCATGCCCGAAGCCCCAACGAACTGTTCCAAGGTGCCTTTGCTGGGCGCATTTGTGGCACAACTGTGACGGAGCTGCGGCTGAGGGAAGAGGCGGACCTCGACAGGGTTTCCACTCTCGGCCCAGGATGTAGCCCCTCCTGCCGCCTCAAAGATACAATGCCATCTGTGGCTAGCAAGCAGCACAACAAGATTCACATTCATATGCAGACAGTAATCGCAGTGGTATGGTGACGACAACAGGGCAAGTGCAAGGGTCGGATCGACAGGATTGGATTCTTGGGAGGTTATAGGAAGACGGGAACATGATCTCCATCGGATCTCCTTGCAGACGTTTGTGGTTATGGCTGTGCCGCCTCAGTGTTCGCGTGAGAATGTTGGAGTCGATGAGCAAAGGCATGTCTCCCAAACTCGTCTGCGATTTATGACGTGGTCTCTAAAATTTTCACGTCATATTGCAACACCCTCCCCTCCCTCCCCTCCCTTCCAAGGATGTGAGCCCCAGCCTGTGGAATAAAGAGTCCCGCCGCGAGACCCCAGCAGCCTTAAAGCCTGCCGCCAGTACTAGAGGCCCCAGAAGCCTTCTAGTGTGACTGAAGCCAAGCTGGAGTTCGAATTTGGGTTTGCTTGGGCCAGCGGGGTCTTCTTTCAGCTCTGTTGAGCTTTCATCTAAGCAATATTCTGGTTACTTTTTTTCTGCTCGGGCCGCTTAGTTTCTGCAAATACGGCGGGATGGGGGGGGGGGGGGCTTGTGCTTACGTGCGTTCTGGGAACAGGATTTTGCAGCTACACGGCGGTTTCTCTTAATATGAGGTTGACATTACTGGTAGCTGCCACTCTGACCAGAGTCGATGCCGTCATTGCAGCTTCAGTTTGGGCGTTGGTTTCTCACAGGTCTTTGACTTCGTTAGTAGGCGGACGTTCTTTGATGATGATGGTGATGATGATGATGACGACGGTTATTATGCTGTTGATGGTGATGTTGATATAGGTTGTTGATGATTATGGTGATGATGTTGATGTGATGTTCATATGTTGATGCTGTTGATGTTGATGGTGATGATGATGATGATGATGATGATTATGATGCGTATCATTCGCAAGCTGTTCAGCCCTGGACGCAGGGAAATCAGCCGGCCGCCTCGGCAAAACAGCCGCTTGGTGAGAGGGAATGCCGCCAGTCACGACTAGCTCCAGGTGTCGGGGGCCCTTTTGGTTTCGAAACTGCTGGTAGCTGTAACCCATTGACAGGCTCCGAGGGTGGGGGGCCCTTGTGGTTTCGAAACTGCTGGGGCCCGTGCCGTTGACAGGCTCAGGGAGTGGGCCTGCACAACGACGAAGTCCTTAACATTCCTTAACATTATGTGCCATCATGCATTCCTGTGCTGTTGCGCCCTCTGTGTGGTAAGGCTGCTGTCCTCGCTTCTTGGACAAGGCGGACTGGACTTGGCGGGGCAGGCCGGGGCCTTTGACCATTGCTGACAAGCGGCACAGACGAGGCGCAAGGTGCAGTCGGCAGCTTTTATTTTACGCGCCGACATTGCGCAGGTTTCCGCCTGGCAACCTCCGGAGTGAACTCTGGCTGCGTCGGAAAAATTCCGAGTGATGCCCACGGTTTTACATGATCATACAGGCTCGAAAACGATGCAGAGATCACAGCTGCCCGGGTGCACATGGAAACTCAAACTCGAATAAATGAGCAGACGAAGAAGTCCGACAGCAACTTCTTTGTATGCTCTGCTTGCCCTTAGAAGCACCCCAGTCCTATTCAGTGTTCACTGATTTCTCAAGAAGGCCTTCCTTCCAAGGGTCCCAGTTTTGAATGCCTTGTATCGGTTCGTACATGCGATGACCCCTTCATGTGGCTCCACAAAGTGCGTCCACCTTGAGTAGTCTGCTTGCCAGGCAACTTCGCAATTTGTTCCAGGAGGAGTGTGGCATGCACAACAGAGCATTGTGACGTGACCGACGACTTCTCTCCCTGCGCCTTGCAGGACCTGCGGCTGCGCTCCACAGTGCTGCTGGAGCCCAGCCCTTGGATGGAATCCGAACATTTCGCTGAAGACTGGGTGGGCAGGCGTGCAAAGAGGGTAGGCGGGGCGCAGGTGGAGCAAGGTGAGACGCACAGCAGGCATGATCAATAGTTTTCCTGCCGTTCACAGTCCTCGGCGTGTGGAAGATGAGATTTGTGGAAATGGCTCTTTCATGACTTAGATGGGCTGCAGCCGACCTTTTCAGCCGCTTTACTCTCCAGGCTCGCAAGTTTCACAAAGGGAGGGACTGTAAGTAGCGGGCAGTTCAGATGCACTGCACTCTTGCCGCTCTTCACCGACGCGGCGTACTTTATGGACCCCGGATCTGCGGGCAACCTTAACGCCTTAACGATGTCCTGCCAGGAGTGTCATCGTTTAGGGTTTGAACAACATGCAACCGTTCCATAGTCTTAACACTTGATTTTGTACCTCATCCTGGCCGAGCTGGTGCGAAGAGGCCATCCTGGAGATTGTCGTTGCCCTTCTGCTCGAGTTCCGCGTAGTCGTGGTGCCACTGCCGTGCTTCATGGGTCAATGGTGGAAAACACCTGGGGCCGAGTCGAGTCATGTACGGTTCCGCGGGAGCTTTCGACATGCAAATACGAATGCACACTCGCACATGTGCGCTAGCAGTAGCAGAAGATTTGCTCTAGCTACGCACTTTATACATGTATACATGTATGTGTGTGTACGTATAAATGTAAGTGCATGCGCCGAAACCTTCTTGTGTCGGTCTCTCCAGTAGGCCGTCTTTTGCAGCCGGCTTGCGCGTAGGAAACGGGATCTCCGCACTAGTCATTCAGCCCATAATCCTGCGGCATGCAGCTTCCAGAAGGTGAACGACAGCTGGCTAAGGTTTGACGCGGAAGAACTCAAGCCCGCAATTTTCTGGTCGCCAGGGAACTCGTTTGGTCATTGATGCGCTTACAGGTAGTCAGCTCTTCTCGGAGCAGGCCTTCAAAAGAAGAAGAGAGCAGGACACAGGGCGGTTGGTCTGTTTTATTTGAGGTCCTGATGGTGTTAACGAGATCTCCACCGTCTTAGAGTCAAGGGAGTCGGACCTTGTCTGCCTCCTGCGGCGGGAGGGTCGAAACCCTGTTGGGGTCTCCCTTTTGGGGCTACGGCCAGGTCTCCCAATCCCCCGAGTTGGCCTCCAAGTTGGTGCTCGGTGCCTCGGCTTGGGGAATCGATGGGAGATCCAGACTATGTACTTGTAGGTAGACCCGAAATTGTGTTCGTTGAAAACGTGCCTGAATCTGAGGCTTGAGCTCGCTTCTGTGGCCTTTCAGCAGCTCTGCCGCACGGGCACCGTCAACGGGTATACGGAGCACGAGCAGTCAGCACGTACTTCTATAGACAAACGAAGGACAGGCACATCCCGCAGTCTGGGAGTTGACAGGGTGTCCATCAGATTCTGGCTTCTCATCGAGGTAGCAGATGTAGCTAGAACTGACATGAAGGTTCAGAAGTAAGTCCTCCAGGCAACGTCAGCAAAGGTCCAATGTGGGGAGTTTCTGAGCCCTCTTGCGACGTCGCCCGTCAAGTGACTCGCTGTATGCAGGTTGGCAGCATCTGCTTCTCCCGATCTGCCCGGCATACCTTCAGGCACTCGTGAACTTCATGCATAGAAACTTAGGCATTGAGTCACTTAGGCACCAGGTTCCATGCCCTCTTTCTTGCCGGTTGTTTCGCACAAACTTGGACATTCACGCAGATAGAGCTCTTTAGGTGCGTATCCGTATACATACATCAATCTAGCTTTACACATGAGCTCTGTGCCTTTGCCAACCAGGAGGCCATCATAGATGCCCCCGTGCCTTTCATCTCTGCCCTGCCAGAGGTCACTCCGCAGGTGGGGCCTAGAAAAGGTGGGGGTTCTCCTCTCAGTTTGGCAATTCAGCTCACGCCAGGTGGCGAGTGCCAGTGGCACGGCTCCGCAACGAGCCAAGCTTTTACTCGCAGGCTTGCGGCAGATCGGGTGTACTTGTGGAGGCCAGTAGTTAGAGAGCCGCTGAAGCACTGAGTGGACTTGTTGGCTTTTCAAGAGGTGTTCGTTTGCAACCGGTGTGCCGAGTGTCTACATTTGCGGTGCGGCAAAACCTTCGTTCCAGGCTCGAGTCGTCATTCTGTGGAATCGAGCACACTGCAGCACCGGGAGCACTCCTACACGGTTCAGCCCATGCAAAAGAGCACTCCAAATATCATTCAACTTGCAGCAGGAACAGGCGCTTGAAAGTAAGCCATGCGCAGGAACCATGAACACGTCTAGTCCGCTAACCTCTAGGCGATGTCAGTTCAACAGACCTATGCTTTTGTGGGTCTTCTCAACTCTCCCTGCGGGATGAACTGAGCAGTGCGCTACACGATGCCGCCAAATCATTACTAACCCTTGCTCTGGGTTACATCCCATACTACCGATAGCCCTACCGAACTATTGCACACATACTTTTGGATCTATACCTTCCATGCCATGTCGCCGCTGGAGCCCGGGCGCACAGAACGGAGCGAGGAGCTGCCAGAACTCCGAAAGTGTCGGCAGCCCAGGGATTTGGATGGACACGTGGTGCCAATATGCTCATGTGTGTATATATATACATATATATATATATATATTTGCCAATATAC